CCTGACCCCCAAGGGCAGCCGTCCTTCGATGCCACCAGTGGGCTTGGGGAGAAAAGTGGGCATGGTTCCTCTAAGGCAGAGTTTGGTGGCAAACGTCCCCTGTAGAGGGCCAGCTAGTGAATGCTTGGGCCATTCTCTGTTGCCACTACCGAGGGAGCGGGTATGGCTGCGCGCTTAGAAAAACAAGCAGTACACCAGCCCCGAGCTGGTCCCACATCCGTCCGTCCGTCATGTGGCCTTGCTCCCACGGCTTATGTTGGTGTCCGTGGCGAGGTAGACACCTGACTTCCTTGCTTGAGTGCAGATGGTCGGAGACGGTTTTGCAGCTAAGTGCCGTATCCCCTTCCAGCCTCCTTCCTTGTAGTCAGCATGGCTGAGGGTTGTCTGGCACGTGGCCTAATTGCTTTCTTTTGGGTACTCGAGCTTCCGGGCTCAGATATGAGCTGAAGGTCCCTCCTGTGCCTCTGGATCCCCCTTCAGGATAGAAGGACACAATCCCCCAATTACTGGTTGTGTGGGTTGGCCAGGTGGTTGATTTACTTGATCCACCAGGTCACAGCTGCCAGCCTTTGTTGGACATTTCCTCTGCTGAAAAATCCGTGCTTCCTCCATGCTCACACCCACCTCCCAGAGCAGCTTGTAATGCCTGACAGGTCAATGTGGAGGTACGGAGGCCGCCTTGCCTCCTCACCCCAACTTGGGACATCCTTCCAGCTCCATAACTGCCTGTGGGGTTCAGCGGAGGCCTCTTTGTGTCGCCATCACAGCCTGTTCCCTCCCTCTGCCAGCCTTGCTTCCTGGACTTTCCTCCTCTCCCTCTGGGGCGGGCGGAACCCCGAGAACACTCCCTGGGAACTCCCTGCACTTGACCTAGGCTGCTTCTGGGAGCCCCACCCGCAGCAAGCTTGAACTTTGACATAGAACCCGGATTTCTAATGATTTAGTGAAGTGACAGATTGTGCCTGTATGGTATTGGACCCAGTAAATACAAATTAGGTAGACTTATTATTTATTCTGAATATGGATTTGCTATTTATTCTAAATGTGGAGTGTAATGTATTCCATGGTATTGCCAAATAAAAAGTTTGCATTGAATCAACCAATTTATTGTAAGTCACTCTTTGTGTGTGCCCTCAAGTCATTGGCAAAGCCCGGCACTGTTCTAACGGACCTCCGAAAGCATCTTCCTGAAAGAATGGGGGGAGGAGTGTGCTGCTTTCCCTACCACTTGCAGCTCAGCCGGGCACGCCGACCCTGCCTCGCAGGGTGTGAAGACTGTCATTGAACTACATACAGAAAACTCGGTACAAACACAGCTTAGATGGGCACCAGGCAACCCTGCTGTTCTCTCTCAGGGCAACCTCCTCCTCCTCATTCCCAACTCTACTTTTATTCTTTAGCTAATTAACAATTCTGCTTGTTAGGTGCCCTCGAGTTGGTTCCGACTCACAGTGACCCCGTGTGCTGCAGAACGAGACACCGTCCACACTTGTTCTGTATTTGAGCCCATCGATGAAGGCATGTGTCAGTCCATCTTGTCAAACGTCTTCCTCTTCTTTCACTGCCCCACAGCTTTAACCAGGTACGATGTCCTTCCCGGGGACTGATCTTTCCTGACTACATGTCCAAAGTGTGTGGGATGAAGTTTCACCAGGTTTGCCTCTAAGGCGGTGGTTCTCAACCTTCCTAATGCCGCAGCCCTTTCATATAGTTCCTCATGTGGTGACCCCCCGCCATAATTATTTTTGTTGCTACTTCATAACTCTTGATTTTGCTATTGTTATGAATTGTAATGTAAATATCTGATATGCAGGATGTATTAGGCGACCCCCAAAGAGGGCTCGACCCACAGGTTGAGAACCGCTGCTCCAAGGAGCATTCTGGCTGTATTTTCGGCAAGACAGATGGGTTTGTCCTTTTAGCTCTTCCTGGTACTTTGAATATTCTTTGCCAACACCATAATTCAAATGCATTGATTCATCTACGGTCTTCCTTATTTAGTGTCCAACTTTCACATGCATAGGAGGCGATTAAAAATACCAAGGCTTAGGTGAGGCACAAAGGAATATTCTGGCTTTTCAATACTTTAAAGAGGTCTTGTGCAGCAGATTTGCCTAATGCAGTGCTTTCCCTGCCCCTCTCCCTCCCCCAATTAAAAACACTAGCCAGTGCTTAGTGGGTCTTGCTATAGTCAAATGGGACTGCTTCCGTGGTTGAATTGTTAAAATCTTTTTCCCACTCTTTTTTTTTTTCACTTTGACTTAGGTGGAGATTTACATTTCAGACCATCAACTTGGTATTCAGCAGTTTAAACTTGAGGCAAGACAGAGGTGATGGTTTGTGCTTCTAAATAAATGATCAGAAAAATCCAGGCACTGGAAACAATGTTTTAAGGGGTGTGTGTGCTGAATGAAGAGTAAATGTTAGGAAGTTGGATTCATGAGTGGTACAAATGACTAACATGCTCCCCTGCTCACCAGCAGGTTGGAGGATTGAATTTATTCCAAAATCCCTTGGAAAAATGGTCCAGGGAAAAACTTACCCCAAACCAGTCATTGGAAACTGGAGTGCGGTTCTCCTAAACATGGGGTGTCGGCATAAGTCACAATCAACTCAACAGCAACTGGCCATGAAATCAGTTTGCTGCTGAGTTTGGGGTTGGTTTATGAATGTTTTGAAGCACGCATCTTTAAATTTTGTATTTATATTTTTAAACGCTCTCCTATTCCTGACCTCTCATTCTGCTGATTTATCTTACTGATTCTGTTCCCCGATCCTCACCCCCATCCCTGTATATCTTTCTGTTTTCTTTCCAATCATTTCTTTCCCCTCTTTTCAAAATCAGCAATGGTGGTATTGCTGGTCTCCCTTGGAATCTGCCCCACATTCGATTTTGGATGTTTTCCTTGAAATGTGGCATTACTACCCTCACAATAGATTGCTCAGGAGGAAGTTGTGGGCTGTCCCTCTGTTTGAACCCTTTCCTGCAGTTGGTGACACCACTGAGTGCCCAGAACTTTGGACTTGGCTCAGCAGAAACCTTGGTGCTGTGGAACAAGGCTATTGGGGCTGTGTGGGCAACAGAGAGCCCAGTCCGAGATTTCCTGCTCGACCCAGCGCTGTGCTGCCCCATGGGGGACACTCTGGGACTGTGTGGGTGGGTCCGGGGAGGTACTGGTTTCCCTCTGAGGCTGTTTCTCTTGGGGACAAAAGGTTGCAAACTTGGTGGGGAAGCATGCTGCAATCATATAGTCTTCTGAAGATTTTAAACCAAAACTAACACCCCCAAGTGGAGTCCCTGGTGTCAGAATGGTAAGCACTGGACTGTGAACCGAAATGTTGGTGCTTCAAACCCACTGAGAGGCACTTCATAAGTAAGGCCTGGTGACTTGCTTGTAAAGGCTACTAACAACACCCCCCAGACTGTTCATTTTAATTCTTGCCTAATGCCCGGTGGATACTTGGGCAGAGTTCTCTTGGGTCCTGCAAATCTGTGCATGTTCAACTTTTTCTTTCTCCCCCCGATCAGGTTAATAAAACAGACTCAAGAGCTTAGACTAAGGTCTGAAAGCTCTTCAGAGGCTGCTCAGTCCTGAGTACTGGATGTTCAGCACACTGAGGTTCAGAGCCAGTTTGGTCTTTCAGCAATTGGGTACGATGCCGGGGACTTGCCCCCAGGGGGCTGGGACTTCGTGAAGCCAGCGTGCCAGTCCATCTAATCAAAGGTCTTCCTCCTTATCACTGCCCTTCTACTTTTCCAAGCACGACATACTTTTCCAGGAACGGGCCTCACCTGACACCGTGTACAAAGTATGTGAGATAAGGTCTTGCCATCCTTGCCTCTAAGGAGCATTCTGGTTGTACCTCTTCCGAGACAGATCTGTTTGTTCTTTTGGCAGTCCATGGTGCTTTTCAGTCTTCTTTGCCAGCACCGTAATTCAAATGCATGGATTCTTCTTTGGACTTCCTTCTTCAATGTCCAACTCTCACATGCGTATGAGGTGATTGAAAGTACCATGGCTTGGGTCAAGGGCACCCTAGTCCCAAGGTAAGATTCTGTGCAGCAGACTCACCCAATTCAATGCATCATCTGATCTCTTGACTGCGGCTTCCATGGGCATTGGTTGTGGATCCAAGCAAGACAACATCCTGGATAACGTTGATCTTTCTTCCATTGATCACAGTGTTGTGAGGATTTTTGTTTCCTTTACATTGAGTTGCCATTTCTGTTTGAAGGTTGCAATCCTTGATCTGTATCAGCAAGCTTTAACTCCTCACTTTCACAGAGTAGGTTGTGCCATCTGCCTATTGCAGTTTGTTAATAAGCCTTCTTCCACTCCTGACGTCCAGTTTTCAGCTTCTTGGATTATTTGTTCAGCATATAGATTAAGTAAGTATGGTGAAAGGATATAACCCTGATGCACACCTGTTCTGCTTTGACACCAGGCAGTATTCCCTTGTTCTGTTCGAATGACTGCCTTTTGATCCATGCATAGGTTCTTTGTAAGCACAATGCAGCATTCTGGAATTCCGACTCCCCCCCCCACCCAAGCTATCCATAGTTGGTAATATAATCCACACAACCTCTGGTTACCACAAATATAATATCTTTCTCTCACTGCCATTGAGTTCATTCCAACTCATAGTGACCCTATAGGACAGAGTAGAACTTCCCTTGTGAGTTTTTGAGATTGTAAATCTATGGGAGTAGAAAGCCCTTTCTTTCTCCTGTGGAGCGGCTGGTGGTTTCAAACTGCTGACTTTTTGGTTAGCAGCCCAATGTGTAACCAGTATGCCTCCAAGGTTCCTTCTACCTCTATAGCTTTACCTAATCTGGACATTTCAGGTGTGGTAGTTACATAGTCAGTCTGGTGTGAGTTTGAGGATTCAGAGTGAAGGAGTGGAGTCTAGCCTGTCAATCAGATCATAGCCAATGAGGCCTCTGTGTGGGCCTGGCCTTCTGAGGATTCTGGGAACTCCTTCATTCCTCCTGGGAGGTGAGAGACACACTCTGTCTCTCTGCTCACTCCCTGCAAGACATCCCTGTGGAGAAGACACATGGAGAGAGGCTGATGGAGCCAGACCTCTGGAGCCGGAGAAGCCATGGAGACCCCTGCCAGTGCTGAGAAGCTTACAGTGCCCTGGATCCATTAGACTTCCCACCCACTGGCCTGTGATCTTCCTGCATTTGATGTCATTGCATGTGTTTTGTGAGTCTGAAGAGGACTTTATAGAGTGGTATTGGACATATGGGCTAATTAATATAGGACTAATAGACTTGATCTGGACTGAGCTGGGAAGTTTTCTTAATGTTCAATTGCTCTTGTATGTAAAGCTCTTTCTTACATCCATATGAATGCCTATGGATTTGTTTCCCAAGTCTACCCAGACTAACACATCAGACCGATGGAATCATCCAATATGTGACCTTTTGCGACTAGCTCCTTTCATTTAGTATGGTATTTTCAAGGACCAGTCATATTCTGCCATACACCAGGCCTTCAGTCCCTTTTAAGACTAAATACTGTTCCACTGTAGGAATGTATACCCTTTTGTTTATCCATTCATCTGTTGATGGACACGTGGGTTGTCTCTACCTTTGGCCATCACCATTAATGCCACTGTCAACATTCAATAGGTAAGTTTTTGTGTAGGCACATAGTTTTACTTCTCTTGGATAGAGATCTAAGAATGGAATTCTGGGCCATGTGGTCATTCTGGGCCTAACTCTTGAACTGCTTCCCATAGCAGCTGCACGGTGTTACATTCCCATCAGCAGTATGAGGGTTCCGGTTCTCCATCCTCACCATCACCCGTTAGTGTTCATCTTTTCAGTGATAGCCATCATAGGAGATATGCAGTGGGTTCTTATTGTGATCATCATATCTTCTTAAGGTAAATGGACACACAGCAAACACAACTTTATGGAGGAAGAGAATTTTATAAGACAGATGTCGACTCATTCAGAAGCCCCTATTTAGCTCTGATAAGTGAATTTTGCTCTCAAAGTCCAGCCCCTCTTGCTCCCCCCTACCCCCCGCCAAATATGGCTCTTTACTATATTTATTCCACTTGGTTAGTTTCTGCAGCATCAACATTTATTGAGCGCATTTTATGTGCCGGCACCATGCCAGGTGCTTAGATACAAAGATGAATGAGGCAAAGTCCCTGCCACGGGGAGCTTACAATCTAACTGGGACCTACGACAGGCTCGCAGAATTCCACAGTGCGGGGTCATCAGAGGGAACTAAACAAGGAGTGGTGGAGGGTCCCTGGAGGGAGAAGTGCCCTGGGCAGATGGGTGACAGGGACTATGGTACTGAGTGGTTCATCACCCCCAGAAAACAATCACCCCGAGGTTCATCGAAGAGATGAGGTATCGCTTCAGAGTGCTTCCTACTGTAAGACATTAAAGCACCTTACATTCCCTGACGGCAGCTCATGGGGAGGATTCACAGTGGGGAGACTTCAGGGAAGCTCCGCTTGTCCAGTGGGTGCATGGCCCTCAGAGCCCCCCGAGGGGGTCGCTGCTCTTGAACTGCTGCTCATCAGAGTCCTTCGGGGTGGGGTGGGGTGTAAAAAAAAAAGTCTGTGAAACTCTCAGGAAGATGTGGGGCTTTGTGTGTGCTCAATCTTTCCAGGATGAGCCTGCCTTCTGCCTGCTGGCCTGAGGCCAACCTTGACATTGATCCCCAAGGCCCCTGGTCAGGGGCTCTTATCAAACTGGAAGGCAGGATGGGAGGGTGGTTAAGGACAATCTCTGCTGTTTGAACCTGTGCTGGGTGACCTAGCCTCATCGCTAATGGTTGTTGACTTACTAACCCATGGTCATTATTGAGTCCAACTCAGAGCGCCCTTCAAGGACAGGAGAGGCCGTACGTTTTTATAGGAGCAGAAGACTTTATCTTAGAGCAGCTGGTGGTTTCAAACTGCTGACCTTGTGGTTAGCAACCCAGAACATAACACACTATGCCTCCAGGACGCCTTCTAATTGTCAGTTGCTGTCAAGCCTGCTCCGTCTCATGGTGAGCCTTCTATAATTGAAGAAGGAAACAGTGCCCGGGCCTGTGGCATCCTCACCACCCTTGGCATTTGCCAGCACACTGTTGCAGCGAGAACCTCCTCTCTAAGGAGTCATGCAATTTATCTCACGTCGGGTGAGGGTTTCAATACTCCATAAACATGCCAGGTACTATGCTGCTGATAGGCATGCGGAAGAAAGGCTTGGTGATCTACTTAAAAAAAAAAAAGAGCCCATGAAAGCCCTCCGGATCACAGCAGTTAGGTCCACAAGTGATCATGGGGCAGAACTTCATTTCAGTCAGGGCTTCGGGCCCAGTGCTTTCTGAACTGCTGAGAATTGGCATTTCCTCCCCAGAGGGACTGAATCAATTTTAACAAGATTCTTGTGTAGATGAATCATCTGTTGACTCTATAAGAGTCACCTGCAGATGTACAAGAATGATCTAATTGGGACATAAGATAAGATCTTCACAGAATGTTGTCTGATAAAGCTCTGGCCAGTGAGACCCCTGAGGCTGGAAAGCATGGCCCAGCAGCTGCAACAACGGACTCAGATTCAGTAGACCGACCATCCTGAGGGACCCTCGTGATTGCGAGCCCCCTCAATGGCAACTGACAGCAACAATCTTCCCTCTACCAAAGGGGGCCCCGGGAGCTCACAACAGCCAGCCCACCCCCTCCCACCAGCTGTCCTGCCACACATTGTCCAGGTGCGACTTTCTTGGTGCAAAGCTCTCCATTGGCCTTTACTGAAAGACATCATTCCTCAGTACCCAACGGCCCCTGTCCCTAGATACACGTGGAGACTCACCTCAAAGGGGTCATAGGAGGGCTCTGGCGGTGCTGAGGTTGTGTTCTCATACATGGGGTTCGAGATGTTCTCAGGCTGCTCCTTGCCAAAGGCCTCCACATTGATGTCCTCTTCTGACTGTTGAGAAGGAGAAAAATGAGGACGGAGAGCGTGGACCACCCGTAAGGCAGGAGCCTGCAAATTGGAGACGGTGAGCAAGCTAGTCTCAGCCTCTGAGACCTCTCCTTCTTAATAGGACTTACGTGTTGGGCTCCTTCTATTACGATGTACAATCTCAGAAACCCCACGGAGCAGTTCTGCTCTTCCTTACGGGGTTACTCTAGTCAGAATGAGCTCAATGGCGGTTGGGTTCTTTTTTTGATTTACTGAGATAGGATTTACATACAACAAAATGCACCCCTCTTAAGTGTCCAGCCTTAAGATCCTTGTGTTTGTCTAACCATTGAGACCACCACCTCCCAGATTAGGAGATAGAGTACTTTCACCCCACCCTTAAGGAGCCCTGGTGGCACAAAGCGTTCTGGTGCTGCTGTTTGGTAGCCATTGGACTGCTGACCCCAGGGTTGGTGATTCAAGCCCACCAGCTGCTTCTTGATAGAAAGATGAGGTTTCTGCTCCTGTAGGTCTCAGAAGCCTTACACGGGGTCACGATGAGTCAGCATTGACCCCATGGCAGTGGGTTTGGGTTTGGCTTGGGGGCAGTGCTCGCAGGGCTTGGTGGGAGAGTCCTTGCGATCGGCTCCTGCAGAGATGGTTCTTCCTTGTGTGCTGATGAGTGGATTCCAACGATTATCCAGAGCAGAACTGCCTATTGGGTTTCTAGGTGGGCATCTTTACGTGAGCAGATCGCCGAGTCTTTTCTCCGGGAACTGTGGGTGAGTTTGAACCACCAACCTGTGCGTTAGCAGCTAAGCACTTAGCCGTGTGTCGGTAGAGCTCCTTCTCTGAAGATCATTGTTGCTTTGTTAGGTCCTATTGAATCAATTCTGACTCATCGCGACCCCGTGAGGGTCATGGGGTCTGCAGTGTAACCAACCCCTGCGCTGTCTCGCACCACCCTCACGGCCCCTGCTGCAGACGAGCCCATGGCTGCAGCTACTGCGTCAGTCCGTCTCGTGGAGGGTCTTCTTGTTCCAGAATCGCTGCTTTACCAAGCATGATACTCTCCTCCAGGCTGGCCCCTCTGGATCACCTGTCCAAAGCACATGAGATCGAGTCTCACTGTCTTCGCTTCTAAGGAACATTGTGACGGTGCTTCTTGCCAGACTGACTTGTTAATTCTTCTGGTGGTTCCCGCTGTACTCAGTAGGCGTCATCAACACCATATGCCGAGACCTCTGTTCTTGGCCAGCCTTCCTTTGTCACTGTGCAGCTGTCTCATGCATATGAGGCATGGGACCTACCATGGCTGGGGACTCTAAGTGACATCTTTGCCTTGTACCACCTCACGGGAAGCTTTTTTCCCCCCCAGCAGATTTGCCCAATGCGATGTGTCATTTGATTTCTCGACTGCCACTTTAATGGTTGTTGTTGATTGTGGATCCCCGTGAAATGGAATCTTGGACAACTTCAAACTTTTCTCCCGTTATCTTGATGTTGTGAGGGTTTTGTTTTTTTTGACGTGGAGGTGAAGTCCACACCGAAGGCCTTGATCTTCAGTAAGCGCTTCAGTTAATCCTCACTCTCAGCAAGCGAGGTTGCGTCATTGGCATCCGGCAGGTTGCCGAGTCTTCTTCCAAACCCGAGACCGTGTTCTCGTGCATATCATCCAGTTCCTCCAATGACTTGCTCAGCGCACAGCTTGAATAATTAAGGTGACACACGCCTGTCCTGATTTCAAACCACACAGTGCCCCCTTATTCTCTTCGAACAGCCACTTCTTGGCCCACGTGCGGGTTCTGCGGAGCCTGATGATGTCCTCTGAACTTGCTACTCTTCACAGTGGGATCTGGAAGGTGTGACGCTCCACATCTGGTAGAGTGCCTAGGTTGTAAGTTCTACAGAAAATCCTATCGGAGCAGTTCTACTCGGTCCCGTGGGGTTACTGTGAATTGAAAATTCTCTCCACAGCACATCACAACAACAACAACCACAACAGGAACAGACAGTGCCTCTCATACCCCATCTCCACCACTCCCTCCTCCCACCCAGCTTACCCACTATTCTGACTCCTACCCTGGAGGGCTTGGGACTGTCCTTGAACTTAATAGGAAAGGAATCACCCACCTGGACACTTCGGCTAACTCTTGTTGATGTGTTTAGCATCTATCCCTGGAGTGTGTAAACATGCACGTTTTCACTAGGACGTAAGGTGAAGGCTGCTTGGGGGCGAAACTGAGCTGAGGTGGCAGCAGGAGGACAGGGGGGAGGCAAAGTACACAAGGAGGCTGCTCAATTGTGTTGCTGCCCCTGGACTCGGTCCCCAGGGTCACACACGGTCAGCCAAGAGCTTCCTGCTGGCATGAATGTGGACGCATGAATGTGGACTCAATCATTCTGAGGGGTTAGAATGTCCTCTGCTGGTTGCAGAGTGAAGTGTCTGCTGTCCACATCCCCTGCCAGTCCCTGACCCTCGGAGTCAGGCTGGAAGCTCAAGCCCGTCAAGGTGAGCGCTTGGCTGGTGAGTCCTCCAAGGTGTGGGCGACTCCTGGGTTCCTGGTGGGTTTACCTCGAAGTCAGTCCTGGGCCTGGAGCTCCGGAGGGTGTGTGCTGCTGGCAGTCTGTTACCTTCCTCCCCACAGCCCAGCTCAGCTGGGAAGAGCGCCTTACAGCTGCAATGGCAGCTACTCTTAGGGGCAGAGACCCCAGGCCAGGAGGCAGAAAGTGCATGGCAGTGCCCCCACCCCACTGTGCCCAGCACTCCGTTAGCTCCTTGGTGAGCTTGCGGCCCCACCCAGCCAGGAGAAGCAGCCCAGAGTCAGGGGCTAGATTTCAGAAAGGTGTCCATCACTGCCCTCCGCTTTCTCCCTCTCTTACCTCAAAGTGCTGGAAACCGATCGTTCTCTGCTTCAGCCGAAAGTAAGAGTAGGCAGCAAACACGACCGCTCCGAGGACCAGGAGGATGGCAAAGAAGATCCCCGGTCCCAAGCCAGTGTGGGTTGAGGTCTGTCCACAAGGAAGGTGGGGTGGGGGGACGGGTGTCAAGGTGGATGTCAACCTGGGGGACTTTCCAAGAGAGGGGCACTTCCTGGAGCACACCCCATTCTTACTGGTCATAGGCATCTTGGAGCTAACTGAGTGAAAATATACTGATAAAATCTTTAATGAGCATCAAACTTTTAGGAGCCCTGGTGGTGCAATGGTTATGTGTTGGGCTGCGATCCACAGGGTCAGCAGTTCCAAACCACCAGCCGCTCCTCAGGAAAAAGTTGGGGCTTTCTACTCCTGTAGAGTTATAATTTCGGAAACACACAGGGGCAGTTCTGTCCGGTCCTATAGGGCAGTGAGTTTATTTACTGGTATTTATTTATTTTGGTTATCAAGCCTTACTATGACCTTGGCCTGTGATAAGCCCCCTCAGAGACAAACATCAGTTTAAATATTACAACAGCCCAAAGAGACAGAAGCCATGACTACTGTCCTCCTTTTTATATGGGGGCCGGGGGGACAGAGGCCTGGAGAAGTTATGTACTTGTCCCAAATCACGGTCAGTCAGTGGCAGAGGCGGGCTTTGGACGCAGGCTGGCGCAAGAGCCCATGTTCTCAGCGCCTCCGCCCAAGAGCTTTCCGGCAGCCAGCCATGCTCGCTGGTCCCTCACACTTTGGGGAGGAAGTCTAAGAGTACGAACTCGGTGTTTGGGGTCATCCTAGTGATTCTGTCTCTCTTAACTCATAGACCTTCCAGGAGCCCACGGGGCAGGCAATCATGGTCCAGTTTTTCAGAAGAGAAAGCGGGGACTCAGGGAGGTTCTGGGACTGGCCCCGAGTCCCCCAGGTATGAAGTGGAGGGACCCGCAGCAGAAGTCAGGCTGTGCTATCCCCCCTTGGGTGGTTTCTCCATCGGCTTCTTCGGCCCCTTGTCTTTGACAGGTATTAGTGGTGGCAGGGCGTGTGTGGCTGTGGGGGTAGTGGGGATGATGAACTAACTGTCCTAGATGCAGGGGCCTCCTCTGGTCTCCGGAGGGGGAAGGTGATGGAAGGTACTTCCAGCCCATTTGATGCTTGGGGCATGGATATTGGGGCTGCTCTGGGCCCTTCTTGGGATCCTTGGATACTCACCACTGGGGCAGGGGGTGCTTTTAAAGGCCCAGAAATGACATGAATAATCCCATTGGAAGCAAGGATGTCCCACTGCAGGATGGCTCTTCCGTTGACGAACCTGGTCTCCTTTTGGAGAAATGAGAAGAGGGTGGATGGGGATCTGAGGCCGTCGGATTTACCCTCCCCGAGTGAGCAGGAGACAGGTGGCCAGTTTCTCTGAGACATTGGAGCCAAAGTCTTCCCTGAGGGCAGTGGTGTAAGGCCCCGCCCTGCCTGCACAGCCCAGAACCTGGAAAAGCCCTTGCGCCACAAAGCTACCCGGCTTCTCCATGTTTCTCCTAGCGATCAAAGTTTGGAACCAGGGGTATCTTAGACCCTAAGGAGCTTCAGGGAAGCCCAGGGCCATTTTATTTAACCCCCTGCTCTCAGAGCGCGGGCCCAGAGATTCCAAGATCACTTGGGTAGTAAGCGGCAACCCCCACACTCTGGACTCCAGGTCTATTGCTCTGAACATCGCACCACACTGTTAATAAGAGCGTGTTTTACGTGATCGAATCCCTTGCGACTCCAAGTGTGATGTTCGTGAGAAATGCACAGCCCGGGTCTCCACACCCCATCTCCTGAGTCACAGTCTGCATTTCAACAAGATCCCCAGGGGGTTCAAGTGCACGTTCAAATATGAGAAGAGCTGGTCCAAATGGACCAATCTTTAATAATAGAAATCGTCTCCCAGTAAAGATGGAAAAAGAGCGCTCCAAAGGCCTGACTCACTAGGAGTTTCCCATAAAATCATATTGTTTGGACGTAATGGTCATCGTTGTCACCACCATTATTACCACACCACTGCCATCATCATGATCATCACCACGAACATCATCACCCAATGTCAGCATCCTTCACGCATCACCAGCCTCCACACCCTCCCCATCATCTCAGTTTCAGTGGAGGAACTGGAGGGCTGGAGACGCTGGGCAACTTGTCTAAGGTCCCACAGAGAGCAAGCGCTACCACTAAGACTCAAACCCTGGCCATTTGGACCCCAAACTGGCAGGCTAATGCTTGGGCCAGATCCACAATCTGATAGACATGAAAGTGGGGATTTAGGTAGATTTGGAAACGGCTTCATTGCTCATTTCTCACAAAGAGCTCCTAAGGCCAGCCGGGGGACCACAGGCCTCTTCCCCAGTCAGTGTACCATGAGGTGCCGATAAGACCTCCCCCAACTGTGGGTTGACCATTCCCTTCCACAACAGCTGCTGTCTGCTAAGCACCCAGTGTGGATCGGGACCTTAGCCTGCCCTCATGGGGTTCTCCCAACAAGCCCAGGGGACTTTCCCTACCGGATGGAGCTGGTCCTGGCTGGACGTGATGAGCAGCTGGCTGCCCAGTCTGGTTTGCAGGACCGTGCCGTTAACGAGGTCGTTGTAGAAGATGAGACTGACATTGGTGAGGTGATGCTCGATGTCCCGTCCAGACAGGGTCTGAGAGGAAAAGAGACACAAGAATGGTTTCTCAAGGCCACACGATCTCGGGTTCTTTTTGTTTTTACTTATTTTTAAAATCATTTTATTGGGGGCTCTTAAAGCTCTTTTCACAATCCATCCATCCATCCATCCATCCATCCATCCATCCATCCATCCATCCATCCATCCATCCATCCATGGTGTCAAGCACATTTGTACATATGTTGGCATCATCAGTTTTGAAACATTTTCTTTCTACTTGAGCCCTGGCTATCAGCTCCTCATTTTCCCCCTCTCTCCCTGCCCACCCCCACGAACCCTTGATAATTTATAAATTACTTAAATTTTCATGTCTTACACTGACTAATGTATCCCTTCACCCATTTTTCTGTTGTCCATTCCCCAGGTCTCTTGTCTGAGGCAGGGCTTCTTGCTAGGAAGAGTGGACTTAGGGAGGCCATGTTAGGGTCACGTTGGGTCTCCCCCCAATAGGCTTCGGAACCCTAACCCCTAGGCCTCCCAGGCTTGGGCCACAGCTTGTAAAGGAGGCCTTAGCTGTGGAGGCCTCTGAAACCGACTCCCTTTTGAGGTTTAAAAAGAGCACAAGGAGACCAAGCCCGGGTAGGGGACAGTGGGTACCTTGTGGACATCTGGGAGGGACACAAGAGAAGCTGAGACAGGACTTGCCTCCAGAGCAGGTGGAGAGAGCCCCCCCCACCCCCCCAACTCCAGTGCCCGAAATTGGACTGCTAGACTCTTGAACTGTGAGGAAGAGGTTTCTGTTTGTTAAAGCCACCCCTTGGATTTTCCCTAGAGCCCCACTGAGATCCCAAGAGGGGTGGGTAATGGATGGGTGGAGGTCTAGCTCCTCCTCGGTGGCTGGCGGGGCGGGGGCCTACATACAGCCAGCCACCCCTTCTGGTGTGTCACACAAACACGAGTGGGCTTCCAGAAGTGAACGGAAGAATTCTGTCCGTCATTGTATTTCCCCACGGACTTCCTGAAGCCCATTCATATTTTCAGCTCTTCTGTGTGCCGCTGGCCTGGCACGCTTTGCCACTGAGCCTGGTTCTTCCCTCGCCCTGACCTCACCCTTGGCCATGGAGTCCTGAGGGCCTTCCGCTTGGATGCCATGCCTGGCCAGAGGACCCGCTGCACCAGGCTGTGGACCCTACAGAGGCTGAAAGGACTGGTGGGACGGGGCTTGCTCTCACAGCTCTTGCTCCCTGTCAGCCCCACAAGCACACGCTCGGGCTAGCCTGCCGGAGCCAGGACCCTGCTGAGGCAGCCTGGGTTGGCGGCCGGCCAGGCCTCTGATCATGTTCAGGCAAGACCACTCTGCCTCAGCTCATCTGTCCACTTCTGAGCTCACGACGTGTAGCCACCGAGGGTGGAGGTGACTGGTCTCGCGGCATGACGACGGGCCTCGTTCACTGAGGCTCCTGGGAAGCATTTGTCTGAAGGAGGCACTCTGGGTGGGATCCCTGGTGGAGTCGTGGGTTATGCATTGGGCTGCTAACCTCAAGGTCGGCAGTTTGAAACCACCAGCCGCTCTGCAGCACACAGTGACGTTGTCTACTCTGGTGGAGAATTATAGCTTCAGCAATGCCGAGGGGCAGTTCTACCGCCCCCACAGGTCATTGTGAGTCAGGTTAGACTGATTGGCTGTGTTTGGTTGTGTGGGGGTTTTTGTTTCTCAGGCACTCGGACCTGGATGGATAAGCCCCGGGGGGCATCGCTTACCTCGTTTTTCTCTAGCCAGTTGTTCTGGGGCACGAAGAGGGTCCCACCGGCCGACAGGTCCGTCAGGTGCCCCAGGAAGGCCCGGCCCCTGGCGGAGCTCTTGGAATAGGCCAGCACTTCCTGGGGAGAGGAAGGAGGATGTCACCCGTTGGGGCCAGGGCTGGAGTGGGAGGACGGGCAGGACTGAAGAGGGTCCCAGACTGCCATCCTCCGGGGTATATTCCCGAGGTTGGTCTCTTCTGAGTGACCTTGGGGTGAGTTACAGGAGCCTCTTTCTTTTCTCAGGGAACCCTGTGCCCTACGTCACAGCGTAGCTGCCGACCGGGACTGTCCTGTAGGCCTAAGTCAAATTGTGAGTCTTCTGGTCTCAAAACTCTGCCCCTTTCACTCAGAGGAGAGGTGACAACCCTTTCCATGGCCCAGGAGGCCCACACTGTCTGCCGCCACTGCTCCCTGGCCCCACACCCACTTGCCCTCTCTCTCCTTCAGCTCTAAGCCCCTGGCTTCCTCGCTGTGCCTCCGGCTTGCCTTGAATGCTCTTGGCTGACAGCCTCTGCCTGCCTGTTCCTTCCCCCTGCAGCAGCATTCTTCCAGATCTACGCGGCTTACTTCCTCCCCTCGGGCCACTTGGCCCAAATGCCATCTTTGCCATAAGGCCTGCCCTCGTCACTCAGTACCCGTCGGGACCTGGGCGCCTTCGACCCGCCCACACTGCTTTCCTTTGTTCTGGTAGTATGCAGCTACCGGGAAGGTTGGAAGTTGGAGTCTACTCAGGGGTGCCTTGACAGAAAGGCCTGGTGCTCTGCTCCCGAAAACGGAGCCCCTGAAAACCCCGTGGAGCCCAGTTCTACTCTGCCACACACGGTCCCCCTGTGGTGGCACCAACTCCAGAGCAACTGCTCAGCCTTCTCGTCTGGTTTCCGTCCTGTTCACACCCTGCTTGTTTTGATCCCTGAAGCCGCTCAGGCACATAGAAAGGGCGCAGTCACTCTTTGTTGAACACGTTGTAAGACACGGCACGACTCAGTCTGACTTGGTCGTTTCGCGGACAGGGCCTCTGAAGGACTTTGCCAAAGGGCTTTGCTTTGGCATCGACTCCCCCCGCTCCACATCCCCCACCGCAGCCCCTGCCCAGTAATATCATCAGCCAAATTTCCACGCAACAACAATAACGATCAGAGTATTTATCTTCAGCTTCCTAATCTACAAAATGCGGATATTAACCAAGTGACATCATCAGGTTGTATGCGGATTTCCTCCTTCCCCAGGTATTTATCGAGCACCGACTATGTGCCTGCCGGCCACTGTCTGAGGGGCTGGGGAGACAATGGTACACAAGGCAGAGGACACCTTAGCCTCGCCAGGCTTGCATCCTGTGGGCCGAAGGAAGCGGGTTTTAAGGAGGGTCACTAGTAGTACCCAGTGCAAAGCAAATGCCCAAGACAAGCTCGTGACGGCTGGTATTATGGGTAGCTCAGCGTTTCTGCTCAGTCCACACTGTATCTTTCTCCTAACGGGGGCAGTGTCTTCAGTGTGTACACCCTGGAGGGCTACTAAAGTGACTTCAAATACAGAGCTCAAGGCGCATGGGCTCCATGCTGCTGATTTGGCCCCAAAGGCTGACCACCGCAAGACTTCATGAACCGTGTCCATCCTGACAACAGAGCATCTTATTCCTGCAGAGCAGACACCTAACCCCAGATCTCGAGTTCTCAAACAGATCACCAGGCCTTTCTTCCACGTCTGTCTTGGTCTCTGAATTCTTTCGAAACATGCTCAGCTCTGTCACAACATGCTATGGCAGACAAATGGTGGCTGCCCGTGAGGCGCCTTGGCTAGGAATCAGACCCAGGTGTCCCTCATGGATGGTGACCATTCTACCACTGACCCACTGCTACCTTTTTGTTGCCTACCACCGAACCCCCACTTGGCTGCAACCCTGGCCCAAGGAGAAAGCAAGACGCCCTGCTACGTACCGTTAGGAAGTTTGTGAGGGAAGAGAAGGACATCAGGACTTGCAGCAGGTTCCCGCTGCACGAGAAGCCGTCTCCCACATAGCCCACCTTGCAGGTGCAGTTCACATCTGGAAGACAGGAGCATGGGCTCATTTCCGGTGAGGAGATTTGGCTGGCCAGCAGCTGGCGTGTAGCTGGGGTCGTTCCTTACCTTTTATCCGGTAGCAGAAGACATCCCACATCTCACTCTTGTTGGCTCTCACTCCATAGTTGATAATCCCAACCACGCCGGCCCCGCAATTCTGGGAGGCGTAGGCTGTGGGGTAGGCAACATGCCCCGACTCCAGCCAGCCCGCTGAACAGAGGTGGTATTTGGCCTGCCGAGACATGGATGGGGCCACGGATCAGCTGTAATTTCCTGTCTGTCATGGGATCATTGGGTTCTCGCCTGATTCCCTGTCAGACTATACAACTCCCTGGATCCGTGACTCACGCCTGTTTTGTTCACCAGTCTCTGCCCTGTGCTCGGCACAGAGTAGGCTCTGTTACATCTCTGTGTCCTGAGCCATTGGATGCAGGGACGTGAGAAAGTGTTACCTTCTCGTTCCTGTTGATGCCCACGCCCTTCCTACTCATTCCCTTCTCTCTACTCTAAAGAAAGACTTACCCAGGGAATGGTGGTGCTTCTGCATGTGGATAGATGGAATTCTAATGGATCGTTATTATGCATGGAATTATGTCTCCCCCAAATATGTGTGGGACCTCTACTCCCTACAACACTCGTGGAAGTAAGCCTGTTGGAAGTAGGATATTCTTGGTTGTGTTAGGTCAAACCCAAGTAGAGTGGGGTCTAAATCTGATCACTTCCAAGCTACAGCAAGGGCACATCATCATACATGCTTACACACATGGGGTAAGACAGATGCCAGGTCCAGATCACCAAAGCACCAAGGAACACCCAAGGCTAGGAAGGGATTGACATGGACAAGGCCTCACTTTGAACTTGGAGAAGATACAATTGCTGTTCCTAGCGGAGAACAGAGCTTTGGAGTCTAGGCTGCATTTGCATCAGAGATCTCTTAGCTGGTCACCTTGGGTATGTGACTTAGCCTTTCAGGGCCTGAGCTGTCCTGATGACACCCACACCCTGGACAAGGAGCCCTGCTGGAGCCATGATTAAACACCGAGCTGCTCGTTTGAAGTGTCGGGGTTTGAACCCCCCCAACGGCTGCGAGGGAGAAAGGCCTGGCTGTGTGCTTTCATGAAGCTTACGGCCAAGAAAACCCTCCGAGTCAGTTCTAGTCTGCCCTGTGGGGTCTCTCAGGATGAGCTGAAATTGATTCAGTGGTACTCCACAGCCACAATGAATGTGAAGAGACCCTACAAGGATGGATAGCAAGGATGGTCCACAAAGTGGTACCTGACACAGTTAAACAACGTAACTAAGTTCAGTTGCTATGGTGGTGTAGTGGTTACCTGTTGGGTTGCGATCTGCAAGCTTGGTTGTTTGAAACCCCTAGCAGCTCAGTGGGAGAAACACGGGCTTTCTACTCCTGTAAACTGTTACCGTCTTGGAAACTCACAGGGACAGTTCGACCCTGCCCCACAGTGTCACTGTGAGTAGTATTGACTCGCTGGCAGTGAGTGTGAGTTTTATCGGCCGATTCCGACTCATGGGAACTCCTGCTGACACGCAGAGTAGAACTCTTCCAGAGCGTTTGCCCGGCTGTGACCTTTCAAAAGCAGACTGCCAGGCCTTTCTTCTGAGGCTCCTCTGAGTGAGTTCAAACTGCCAACCCGTCGGTGAGTAGCTGAGTGCTTAACTGTTTGTGCCACCCAGTGACCTCTGACACATGGCAGATGGTCAGTAGATGGGCCTGGTGAATGCCCTGCACTATGCTCTGAGAAGGCAAGAGCCCACGCCTTCTGTCATACGAAGAGACTGCACCTCCTGCCCTGGAGACCCGGCCCTGCCCAGACCCGGGTGGGCTGCGCTCACCTTCTGGGCGTAGGAGAGCTGGCTGTAGGTTGCCACGGTTGCACCTTCCTTGGCACAGGCTTCTTTGGCTTTGTCAAAGGTCAGCTTGTACTGGCCGTGTGGGGAGCGTAAGTGGAACACTCCAACGGTGGTATCTAGGAGAGGGAGGAGAGGTCGCCCAGGTGAGCAGGCTTGGTCCGTCCGCAGCCCTTTGCCCAGCAGGGCACCTGGAGAGGCTTCCCAGGGGGAAGGGCCGTTGTACCCAGGCCGTCTTAGACGCCTCTTCTCCTTGGAGATAGCATTTAAAACAGGCATCCCTTTTCTAATTCTAAAACAAACACACGGTCCTTGTAGATAGCGGGGTGATACCGAAAAGAAATCTTACAGAAATAAAACAAAAAGGACCTGTAACTCTTGTCCAGAAATAGTTATGACTTCATGGCTAATATTTTGGTGTTTTTTACTCATTTTTTATAACTTTTATCTTGATATCATTTCAGACGCTTTGAGTCATTCACATGATATATGAAGAATTTGTGGAGAAATGGAATGAAAAGGGAAGGGGATTTTTCCCATGAACTTTTTGAAGTCGCCTCATCTGTGTATCTAGCTATCATTCTTTCCATCCATCCATCCATTGACATACTGGTACCATACCAAATATATAGTTTTAAAAATAATTGTTAAACTTAGCATGAGATATAATTACTTCCCAGTATTATAAATGCCCTTTGGCAGCATGATTCACACCCCGTCCCAATACATACAAGACTACTTTTTGGTGCACTTGACCACCTTGAGAACACTACTTCAAAGGAGTGTCTATCAAAGACTATGTCTTCCAACCACGGTGTCTGAAAAAAAGTGGCTTAGCCTCTTCCAGCTAAGATTTTGGAACATTTTTGCTTGTTTGTTTTCTTAGTGACATCTTTTCTTTTTTATATAATAATAATGATTTTTTATCATTTTATTGGGGGCTTGTACAACTCTTTATCACAATCTGTACATACGTCTATTGTGCCAAGCACATTTGTACATTTGCTGTCATCGTCATTCTCAAAACATTTTCTTTCTACTTGAGCCCTTGGTACCAGCTCCTCATTTTTTCCCCTTCCTCCCCCACCCTCCCTCCCTCATGAACCCTTGATAATTTATACATTATTATTATTTTTTCACGTCTTACACTGACCAATGTCTCCCTTCACCCACTTTCCTGTTGTCCACCCCCCTGGGAGGGGGTTATATATAAATCATTGTGATTGGTTCCTTCTTTCTTCCTCCACCTTCCCCTTCCCCTCCTGGTATCACTACTCATTATTGGTCCTGAGGGGTCTCTCTGTCCTGGATCCCCTGTGCTTTGAGCTCTTATCTGTACCAGTGTATGTGCTCTGGTCTAACCATATTTGTAAGGTAGAAATGGGGTCATGATAGTGGGGTGAGGAAGTATTAAAGAACTAGAGGAAAGTTGTATGTTTCACTGGTGCTATGCTGCTCCCTGACTGGCTTGCCTCCTCTTTGTGACCCTTCTGTAAGGGGATGTCCAATTGAGTGACGTCTTTTCTAACCAGATAATTGAGATCAGAGTCCAGAGATTCATCCCAGACAGCAATTGACTAGAGCCTTCTGGCTTTGGATGTTCCACAACACCTTGGGCACAGAATACCACCAACTAGGCTCTTCAGACTTCCTGTCCCCTCCCCTCCCCATCTGTTTAGCCCAGAACTGCTCAGAAACGTCACATTGGGGGGTGGGTTGGGAAGTGGCTTTCTTATTTCCTCACTCCCTTTGTCCACTGTGTGTCCTGGGACCACAGCCTTGATGACTGTGTGTGCTCCTCACTGCTGTGCCCTTCTCAGTGGGCCCTGGACAATTCTGGCATCTGGCCAGTCTGTCCCCCAGCAGAAACACACTGCTGCTATTGGGAGTGGCACCCACAGGGGCTTCTGTGCTTGGCTCAATTCATATTTCCTTCAAGTCTCCATCGTGGTACAAAACAAAAAATGAAACAAGACGAAACAAAACAAGCAAACGCACTGCCATTGAGTCAGTTCCTACTCACAGCGACCCTAGAGAGCAGGGACAACAGCCCTGCGGGTTCTGAGACGGTGACTCTTTACAGGGACAGAAAGTCTTGGGACCATATTAATACTCCTTTCAAAACCAACTGATTTTCAGCTTTGATATTTTTGTTGTTGAAAGCAAGTATTTTCTGTAATGGAAAGAAATTTGAATGAAATGGAAAAAACATTTTTTTTTGGAAGTAAGATAGATTTGGATATAATTCTCACTGTCATCGAACTCAGTTCCAGTTCATAGTGACCCTACAGGCCACGGTAGAACTGCCCTTGTGGAAAGCCTCATCTTTTTTCCAGAGTGGCTGGTGGTTTCAAACTGCTGGCCTTGTGCTTAGCAGTATAGCGCCTAACTCACTATACCCCCAGGAGTCCCTTGATACACTTAGTAGAGCATCTGGCCTGAGGCCTTCCTGCTGCTGGGGTTTGTGAAAGGAGACTTGTCTTTCTTCAAAGCTATGCAATTGTACAGGATGAATGTTATACAGCACAAGATGGCAGCACACACTAAAAGTGGGATAGCAGCTTCCCACTAAATCCCAGAGGAGGAAAATGTGGGTGGGCACTATATGTCCCAAGGGTCCAGAAAAGATTAAGCTTCTCTAAAGACTCCCTTTCACCTCCTTTAGAGAGTATTCTCTTTCTCAAGCTGTGCTTGCTCTCTTGCTTCGGTTATACCATCAACGTGAGATACATTGCTGTTTTTTTTTTTTTGCCCTGCCCCCCTACATTGCTGTCTTTTGGCATAGTTCTTTCTTTTCTTTTTCTTCTTAATTAAAATAAAGCTCCTCAACGATATTGGGAATCTCTTTGTGAAAAGAGGCAAGGCCTTATATAGGCAACATGTTTTCTTCTCATTCCCAAAAGGATTGAAGTGTCTCAGCACTTAACACATATACAGACGTTATGTCAAAAGGTATTGTGGAGATGGATAGAAATCGACCAGCAAAATTACTGTGTCTGTCAAAACCCTCCAGCTCAATCAGAGTACCGATCACTTTCTAGACCACTCAAGTCCCTCCTTGTTCTGGTTCAAAATTCCATGTGTGGGATCTTTCTGGGATCTTCTCTCTATGAGGCTTCAAGAGGCCCTCTGGTTTGTGCTGCTGCACATTCTATTCTAAGGAGCCCAGGTGGCACACTGGTTGAGCACGTGGCTGCTAACTCCAAGGTTGGTAGCTTCAACTCATACATTGTTTGATGGGATAAAGAAATGCTAGTCTGCTTCTGCAAAGGTGACATCCTGGGGAAACCCCGGGGCAGTTTTGCTGTGTCCTACCAAGTCTCTGAGTCATATTCCACAGCAAGGGGTTTTCTGTAATTTAAATGTTCACTTAACTTTTTTAACCTAATGATGCGATGATTCTTCATCTAGTTATACCTACTGGTTTATTATAGGTAAGCCAACCAGATCCTTCTTGGGGCCTTTGGCAATCACTGGGCGACTACAAATCCAACTGCTCAGAAACTGCTTCTGCAAGTGACGAGTGCTTCCTCTTTGTTTCATCCCCCAAACGGTGCTGCTTCGATGTAATTCAACTTAAAATGTAATTCAATTTAAAGCCAAACATCAAAGAAGATCCAGGACAGAAAACCGTTTTGCTCCCTCCTGTCTGGAGAGTCAAGGTTCAATTCCAAGTTTACCTTGCCC